TCACCACAGTTCATTTAGTGATCAAAGTTACAACAGCACTAAAAAAAGTGACATGACCATTTTTCACACTTACAACCATTGCAGCATCTCCTTGATCATGTGATCAAGATTCAAATGCTTGGCAATTGATTCACATTCATGATGGTTGCAGTGTCTGGGATCATGTGATCTCCTTTTACAACTTTCTGACAAGCAAAGTCAATGGGAAGCCAGATTCCCTTAACAACCATTTTACTAACTTAACAAATGATTTGCTTAACAACTCTAGCAAGAAAGGTTGTAAAATGAGGAAAACCTACTTAACAAATGTCTCTCTTAGCAACATATATTTTGGGCTCAGTTGTGGTTAAAAATTGAGGATTACCTGTAGTGTTTCAAGTTATGATAAGTTTAACTGTCTTGTTCTAATATGGAAATCAAAAGCAATATGTATGAACATTTTAGCTGTTACTTCCACATCTTGCTAATCCTAGATAGAGGGCAGATGGTTCAACCAAAGAAGTAAAAAAGAGAAGAAATAAGTATTGGGGGAAAGTCTGGATAAAAAAAAAAGTGGCGGGGGGGAGAGATCTGATGCTTGAAGTTTCATATTTAGTCTCTTTTCCCCCATTCTCAGAACTTCAAACTAAATACTTCATAAAGGTAAGGAATCTTTTATTACTAGTATTTATCTAGTATTTACTGGTACTAGGTTCCAGACCCAAGTGTAGAATTCTAAGTGGAGGGCTAAAAGGTGAAGAAAGTTTAAGGAGCACTTCCACTGCCATCCACCGAAAGCTTCTCTACCCCACATTTTGTCTGAGTCCATAAACTAAGTGGAAAACTCGATTTCTTTACCTGAAATAACTAGCCAAACCATAGACACCAGACTAATAAACAATATTCATTGTAGGCAACATTTGTCTTTTGAGTTCATTCCCTATGGGGGAAATGTTGAGTGTAGATAGTCAGTGAAGCCAATATATAATTTCTCCCACTTTGTGTGCTCAGCTGTTGTTGGGAGTGTAACTATGTAGTTGTATGAAAAGGGTGTTGTTGTGTGGTTATGGCAGGGAGCTAAAGTAATTGTCTTATTTTTCTTCCTGATGAAGTAACCAGTGCAAGAATTATTTGTGCCTCTTTTAAAGCTAGTTCTCTCTCCCTCTAATCAGATTCTCAGCATCACTCAACATAGTGATTTATGCCAAACAGAAGATTTGCTGTTAAGAGATACACATTAAGATATTGTAACTCGAGAGGGTTTACACAATCTATAAGACTTCAGCATATTTGCGAATGTTTTATATAACCTCATTTGTTTCTCCCAGAAGTTATATTATCTGTTGTTTATTTATACCTGAAATGGAAACCAAGAATGGTATTTTAGTGATTATTTTCTCCGTGTGATTCGTTTGCATATTTATGCGCAGTAATGTCACACTGCACTCATCTGAATCTATCCAAATGTTAATTTTCCAACTGTGTTGTGCAGCTCATGACAACCACCTGCTCAAAAGTCACTTTTTTCCCTTAATAAGACCAATAAAAGTTAAAGGAAAGATGGGGGAAATGATAATAAGTGTGATTGTTTGTATCTCTGTGCTGAATGTAACGAGTTCTGGAATAGCTGACAGTCTAATTGCAGACTACTTCTCGGAATGAAAAATGCAAGTTTGTGCTAGTTAGGATGAATAATACTTCCCAGAATGCCACTTGAGGTGACTCCCTCATAATGGTTGAATGCTTCAATAGATTTGGGGAAACGAATGTTCTGAAATGATAGGCAAGCAGTTGGAATAAAATTCTTCATCCTTTAATTCTCAGAGCTTTTCATCAAATTGGGTTTTTTTTTTAAAGCAATCACTGGGGCCAGGCACAGCAAGCAATTATCTTTAAATTTCACTTCTTCCACATCTATGCACTCATGAATATGCAGATCTGTGTGTTTGTATATGTGTGGATGCGTGTGTGTGTGCATGTGCACATGCACGCATGTGTGTGTATGGACATTCCATAAATTATTCTATTCACAGAGATCTCCAAGAGACTGCAGACACTAACTACTGATTCCTTTTTCCTCCTTCAGGCTGCTCCAGATAGTCTGAAATCTCCAGAGAAACCTTTCTAGAGACACGACCTTTCAAGAAGTAGTTGATATAAAGGTCAAATTTCATCTCTTATTTCCAGTATGAGAACCCAGGGAAAGGATGTGTTGCTATATCAAGATCTAGGCAATACACCTGGTCAGTTAATTAAGGAATATACAGCATTTTTTTTAATTAAAAGCTTTTTTATATATTTTTTATTTTTACACATCTCTTCACATGAGCAACATGATTCAGGATTATGATTATAACACTTGTACATAGTCATACTTTCATTTCCATTAATCTTATATATTATCATCTCATATCATTATCCATTTCACTCATCTTTAAATAAATTTGCATTTCATATTTCAATTCATTAGTTCAATATCAATATCATTTCATCCACACATAGGTTTTCAATTCTTTATCCCCTATTATTTCCATTTTCAGCCTACCACCTATTTTATTTTACATTACACATCATTATTATCCTTAATTTTTGCTAAGCTGATATATAATAAACAATCTAAAAAAAGTAAAAGTAAAATAAAGCCAATGTATTTAGGATCCACATGGTGTTTTCCATTCCCTTACTTTAATCATAATAAAATACTCTCATTATACACTTCTAATATCCATTAAATAATCAACTGTATATTTTAAAATGTATATATTTTAAGATATCCCCCCCAGAAAATTGCTAGAGTAACTTCTTAATATGTCTCATTTTATCTTCACTTTACTTCTAATCATTAATAATGTTTTTCTTCCTTTCCCCTTAGCCAAAGTTTGTCTATATATTTTAATTCATTTCCATTCCCGTTTTTAATCCTCCAAAGGGTTCATAACAGCATAACTCATATACATACATACATGTGTGTGTGTGTGTGTGTGTGTGTGTGTGTGTGTATTCCTAAAATATTTCCCAGCAAGTTTTAAACTAAGTACCAATATACATTCCCATGTGGTATCCCCCTTATAAAATTCCTAACCCTTATCTCTAAATTTCTCGGCTTTATTATTTCTTTTAATTTTAGGCAGGTTTCCCTTTTCTAAGTTTGCCCGGTTTTTCTTCTTTTTTCCTTCTAGTATTATTTTTATTCCGCTCTGCCTGTCAGCCCTGTTTTCCCCCACCCTTTTCAGTTCTATTTTTGGGGGTTTCTTCTTATATAATTCCTTCTTCTTCTTTTTCTTAGTCTTGGGAGCCTTATCTCTTTTATTTGTTGTCTCTGTTGTCAGTGTCTCTATTTTAAATCCTTTTATATCCTTTGGCAATGGTCCTTGTTCTCCATATTCTTCTAGGCTGTTGTTTTCCTCTTCCAACTCATCATCTCTGGGCTTTCTTTGTTCTTCTGCAAGCTGTGACGCTATTACTTTATTAATCATTGTATCCAGTAATCTCATTCTTTCTTTTAACATTTCACAGTTTGCAGCTCTGATTTAAATTCTTTGCTTATTTCTTCCATTTCTTTATTAAAGATCAATTTTTTCTATTATAGCCCTTACCAAAAGTTTCCATTTTTCTCACTTTCTCTTTCTTCTGTTTTTTTTTGTCACAGTCAACCTCCAGCAGTCCCAAAATATTGTATTCCTTTATATTTTACTGTAGTCCCCACTTTTTTTTAAAAAGCTTCCGGGGTTCTTGTTGTATTAATAAATCTTTTATTCCATTTCTTCTTTCAAATATTTATATGGCCAGTAATTTCCCATAAAAGCATAAAAGAGGAAAATCTTTAACCATTAGGTGGTGCTCTATATAACTTTCTTTTCAAAGGTTTTTAATTTTTAATTCTCTTTTCCATAGTGTTAACATTAAATTTTTTCCATTCCAAATAAATCCAGCATTTTATCCAATGCCTAATTAATGTCCAATTCTGTATATTAGTCCAAATTTAATCTCTGTTTTCATATAATTATTTTATTTCTGGTTTTTCCTTTACTTTATATTTTCCTCTTGTTCCCTGTTTGCCGCTACAATTCTTTCAAACGAGGACTTTCTTTCTGCTTTTCAGGGTTATAAAAAAAAGGTATTCAAAGTCTTTTATCCAGTTATACACCACTCACCACTTCCACTCTCCAGCACAAACTTAAGTCCCGGCAGCTTCCTGTATTCAGGGCAGCTATTAAACTGCCACTTCTCCCTGTCTTCTAGGGGAGTAGATACCAAGCCAGGGAGGGGAGATGCGGCTCCCCTCAACCCAGCTGGAGGTCTCCCCCTGTTCCCACCACCCCTACAAGGTGGGTCAGATGGTTCAGTCCCTCAGGGATCCCTCTAACAGGGCAAGCATGGATCAAAACCAAGCACGATTGCGGTCTCTGGTCTGTCTTCGACAGAAACGCCACCGGAAGTCCAGGAATATACAGTATTAATGCATAAATCCATAACATTTAAATCCAGAGAATAACACATCACAACCATCACCATTAGCACCAACCTTATGACAAAAGAGACATCTACATGAAGCATCCTTAATCTGGATTTCACTTGTGATTTTATCCCAGGGAAATGGATTAACATAAGAAATACTGTCCCTTTTAACTTTCAACTTCAAAGCATCAAACAGAGAACCGTTGCGATTTTTCAAATAGTCAGACACACTTAAAAAGGTTGTATGTGTATACAAGGCTATTCTATAATAGGTAATTTTAAGTCTAACCCTTTTTCCTGATTTCATTATTCAGTGATTTAAAAATGAGTTTAATTCTTTTTTATAATGTGATATATTAATATATTTCGGTAATATTGACAGAATGTCACTTCATCAAGAAATACATCAACTGTACATTCCTACAATTGTTGCTATATTAAACACTTTTTAGAAATCAAAATAGGCTGAATTCTTCAAAAGAAAGCACTGTGCTAAGTTCATATCAGTGGCTATCTTAATTCCAGGGGGAAGGTAGTTTTTGCCTTTGGGGAAAGTCTCTTACCCAACATTTTCTGCATCTTCATCACATTCAGCTCTGTACTTGCAAACTCCGCATTTGGAATGTTTTCTATGAATGTCCGTTCCAGATCCTTCGTACTCTAAAACAAAGCCACGTCAACAGAGTATCATCTAATGAACATTTCTAAAAGAGTGAAAAATATTTTTCATATTATACATGTCACACTACTCTGTAGACATGGATTAGATAACATTAGTCATTCTACCTGCATTCTATCACTTACTGTACTTCTCATCATTATAACAAATTCTGCTCCCACCTTAGGCATGAAAGCCAACCTGAAGACTTGACTTTGGTCCAGTCAATCTCTCTCAGTTCAATCCACCTGGCAGAATGCTTGTTGTTGGGAAAATAGGAGGAAGGAGTACTGTATAAGTTTGCCACCTTGAATTACTTGTAAATTATTGAAGGTGGGATAAAGAAATACTTTTTAAAAATCCTATTTAGAATTCACTGAAAAAAAAAAAGCATGCTCTATATTCTATGGTCCTGACAGAATCTAAGTATTTTAAATAGCAACAGTCTAGATAGAACAACAATTCATAAAAACATAAAGGGCCTAGGGATGTAAAAAGCTTTACTGAAGTGTATCCACTGCAGCTGAAATGTCTAGACTTATAGTGAATGTCAGGTTATTACCTTGAAATAACAGCAGACTTATTTTTTTAGAATTATGTAAATCCCATACCCTTTAACTTAGTTGCTTATGCTAGTAATAATAATATAGCACATAACTGAGCCGAAACTAAATTATTTTAAATGTCACTGGTTTCATTGGGAGAGTTAAGTGTTCAACTTCTTTTCAGGAGATGCTCTTAAATGTACACATAATGTATCCATTTAAACTATTGTGACACAACAGTGGCTATAACAAAATTATATTAGATGTTATCGTAACATGAATAAGAATGTAAAAAAGGATTACTGATCTGTTTTTCTGCCTGTGCCATTACCTATTAATAAGATTTCATCAAGACAGGTTGGGGTTTTTTTGTTTTTGTTTTTACACAAGCTTGTTAAACTAGAAAAACCAGAATGTTTTGTCAGCAAATGGCAAGAAAAAATGCATGATAAATTCTGTCTCTGATTTATTTCACCAGGAATTTATAATACAACATCAATATATGTCTGGGTTGCACTAAAAGACCTCAGAGATCCCTTCCAGCCTTGATTCTATATTCTATGCTTAATAGTATATATGAATATAAAGTTAAAAAAAACACTTTAATGGGAAAAGCAGCAACACTTTGCGTGTTATCTGAGGCAAAGATGAGAATCCACAAAATTGTATTTACCAACTCACAGACAAAACTCATTTTGTTTATATGTATAACTGGTAGAAACAAGCATCCAACTCAAGTAATTCCTCAGACTTGGAAACTTTTAAGTGTCTGAACTTCAACTTCCAGAATTCTTCAGCAATAAAGCTGGTTGGGGAATTCAGGAAAGTTGAAGTCCAGGCATCTTAAAAGATACCCAGATTGAAAAACTCTGATTTAACTCCAAGTGATAAATGATCAACTCTATTCCTCAAGTCCCACAAAATCATATACTCTTCTTTCTTTCATGTGAAGCTGCAGTTAATTTCAAAAATGGAATGTCTCTTGCATGCAACCATAAATTTCCATTTTGCTGTTAGTAACAGTATAAAGTGGTAGATACAAATCTTACAAATAATTGGTCTGCAGCAAATATTTGACAGATAGGGAGTATCAAAGGAGAAAGCAAAATGTTTTTAAAAATACTTCATATAACTAGTATTGGACATTACCACTGTCTGAGTTTTAAAATAATTAAAAGGCAGATACTCTTGGCTTTTTTTTCAGTAATTGGCCAGCATTCTGATAAATGAGCATAACTTGCCAGAAGCTGGATAAACACTCTCAACTCAGTTCACCCTATATCTTCATAAATAAAATTAGAAACTCAAGAATGCTACAATATCAGGACTAAATAATAAACCACGGAAAAAGAATTCCAAAGATCAGACAAAACCTTCAGGCACACAGCTTTGTCAAAGGTCAACGATGTCACAAGAATGACTGGGAAGGATGTAAATCAGTAATGTTGTAGGGGGGAAAAATGCTTCGCTTCAAATCCCTAGAACCTTAGGAAATAAATGCATCTTGGAATACCAAAGGAACTGAAGAGCTCTGCAGAACCTTGTCCATGTCCTTGAGGAGTCCTGGCCAACTGGAAAGGTGCCAGTGGACTGGAGAAGAACAGATGTAGCTCCTCTTTTCATAAAAGGGAAAAAGAGGACCCCTGTGAGCCAGTGAACCTAACTACCATCTCCAGAAAGATATTACAACAGGTAATAAAGTAGGCTATTTATAAACATTTCTAAGTTAATGCTGTGATTGCTAAGACCAGAGGTCTCCAAACATGGCAACTTTAAGATTTGTGGACCTCAACTCCCAGACCTATGCTGGCTGGAGAATTCTGGGAGTTGAAGTCCACAAGTCTTAAAGTTGCCAAGTTTTGAGATCTCTGGTCTTTGCAATCAAAGCATTAACTTAGAGTTTATTATAAATACCTACTTTATTACCTGTTCTAATATCTTGGTTTTGTAAAAAAATAAATCATATGTGACAAATTTTGTTTCCTCCTCGGATAGAGATAGCTACCCTAGTGGACAAGGGAACTACTGTGTATATAATCTACCTTGATTTCAGCAAAGTTTTTGACAAAGATTCACATGATGTTCTCATTAACAAGCTGCTGATTTGGATAACAATACAGTAAGGTGGCTCAAAAGCTGGCTGGCAACTGCATCCAGAATTAATTGCATTCAGCATGATGGCTCTACATCAAGTTAAAGAGCAGTCACCAGTGCAACTTGTAAGAATCAGTCTTGGAGCCAGAATTATTCAACACATTAATTAATGACCTGGATTGTAAGATTAATTGATTGCATATCAATTTGCAAATTATACAAAGTGGGAGGTCTAGCCAAGATCTAGGTAACTGAAAGAGAATGTAATTGATATGAACAACTTTGAAAACTGGACTGAAAATAACTATGCATGTTGACTAATATTATATTTAGGGAGAGAAAAATGTAGGACACATATACAAAATGGGGAAAATGTGGTTTGAAAAGAAAATATCTGAGGAGGACTGACAACATGCTGAAATACAGGATGGGGCAATTTCTAGAAGAGCTAAAAGACTTGTAAGCTACAATAGAAGCGCTGCATTAAAGATACATGAAATCAGTATATTCCTCTCTTTATTCAACACTGGAGTAGTCGATTACAGCTTACAATTCTGAGTATTGTCTTTCCAAAAGGTTATTAATATGTTAGAGAGTTCAAAGAATGATCAGAAAGAAGACACAGTACAAGTAATGTCCAATGAGGACTGAAGAAACTTTTGATGTTCAATCTGAAGAAAAGAAGAGATGACTCCACCAGACTGTCAATTATTTGGAAGCCTGCACTCACAAACAAAAAAATCTCCACACCACAAGCCAGGCAAACACCTGGGCACAAACAGATCCCCCCGATACCTCCAGCTCAAACACACCCCAACCAGGAACCCAAATGAAACCTAGCTTCCTAACAAATGATAGCCGTCCATTTACTCGGAGCCAAGCTGCACTAAAAGCCTCCAATATAGGAACACAATGTTGCCAGCCAATCAAGACAAAAAAGCCACAAAACAGACAGAAGGTATTAGAAACACCAATCAAGCAGAACACAGCAAACTCCAAGACCAATAAACACAGACCAAGACTCCCAACCAATCAGGATGAAGAAAAAACCATTCTGGCACAGCAGTAGGCTAGCCCCAAATTTAAAACTGAAACAACTGTAAAAGTCTGACTCACAGACGAACACTATACAGAAGTCTGATGATGGCAGATGAGATTCTGCCGAAATGCTACTACAACTTTAAAAGCACAACTATAATGATGTGGGAAAATACCCAAACAAAGCTGAATACCATACATGTAAGTAAGTAAAGCCGAAAGCACCAGCCTGAGGATGGAGAGTGGGACCTCACCAAAACGTTGCCAAGATACTCTTAATCTTACATGGGAAAAGACCCGAACACACCTAGACCTACATACCTGTACCCATGAAAATCTACAAATATATATATATATATCTATATTCTTAAGTTTTCACGGTACTTACATGTATGGTATTCAGCTTTGTTCAGGTATTTTCCCACGTCATTATAGTTGTGCTTTTAAAGTTGTAGCAACATTTCGGCAGAATCTCATCTGCCATCATCAGACTTCTGTATAGTGTTCGTCTGTGAGTCAGACTTTTACAGTTGTTTCAGTTTTAAATTTGGGGCTAGCCTACTGCTGTGCCAGAATGGTTTTTTCTTCATCCTGATTGGTTGGGAGTCTTGGTCTGTGTTTATTGGTCTTGGAGTTTGCTGTGTTCTGCTTGATTGGTGTTTCTAATATCTTCTGTCTGTTTTGTGGCTTTTTTGTCTTGATTGGCTGGCAACATTGTGTTCCTATATTGGAGGCTTTTAGTGCAGCTTGGCTCCGAGTAAATGGACGGCTATCATTTATTAGGAAGCTAGGTTTCATCTGGGTGCCTGGTTGGGGTGTGTTTGAACTGGAGGTATCGGGGGATCTGTTTGTGCCCAGGTGTTTGCCTGGCTTGTGGTGTGGAGATTTTTTTGTTTGTGAGTGCAGGCTTCCAAATAATTGACAGTCTGGTGGAATCATCTCTTCTATTCATGCTTTCAGGTCTTTTTTCAATGTCTATGGCTTCTCTCTGAGAATTCTGTGGCTAGGGTTTTGGTGCCATTGAAGTTGATGCTATGACCTGTGGCTTTCATGTGTTGGACTAGTGAGGAAGTGTGTTCCAGCTTTTTTACTGCATTTTTGTGTTCATCCAGGCGGGTACTTATTCTTCTATTGGTCTGTCCAATGTATGTGGCCAGGCATGATGCACAGGGAACTTCATATATGCCTTGGTTTTCCAGGTCAATTTTATCTTTGGGGTTTCTAAGGATGGCTGCTATTTTTCTGTCTGTTTTGAAGGCAGTCTTGATGTAATGCCTGTGTAGTATCTTATTTTGTCTGTAGTACCTCTTATGTAGGGCAGGACA